ATTAGTTAAGGTATTTTCGCTAAGATACAGTGCCCTCCATATACATATACATGTACATATACAGCAATATCCTCGCCCAAACACACTATGTAAAACATATTAAGCAAGAATACAAATTTTCAGGAGGAATTAAACAACCTTGCATATCTATCCTTAAATAAAGTTCTCGTGTATAAAAGTGTGTTTTATTTCTGACTGGTTTTAGTACAAAGAAGAACTATGTTTGTACATATATGAGCATGTTAAAGCTTATCGAATATACAATCTATTCATGCGATAAAGTAGATTGATTGAATGATTGAATGTATGTTGTTTTACATCTCATTCAAGAATGCAATATATTTATATAACAGAAAATTACGATATGAACATGATAAATACATGTAAAAAGGTAAGGAGACAGTCTATGCGGAAGACACTGTCATAGAATTTACTTGTCCGTAGGGCATTAGCGTCTATAATCAGAAATACAAATGATTAAAAATTAGAGGACTACAAAGCGGATGCCCCCTTGAAAAAGAGCATTTTTATCTATAAAAAGCAAGCTGCTAGGCAGCATTTGATATTGATCCCGATGCAAATTACGTAACTTGCGTTTCTCACAAAGACAAATTACACGCACAAAAACACACACAATTACGCGTTACTATATTTTCCTTCTCCGTTGCAAGGGGATAGGAAGATTATGACAAGAATGTTTGCTGTTGGCAAGTAACAGCATAATCATTCCAGAAGGCATCCATTCAATGATCACGTGTCGCTTGATTATCAACCTTGGAGAAGAAAATATATATATGAGTATATCATAGAGCATCTCTCTTAGTGTGAAATTAGTCATCAGTTTAATCACCGGCCTTTTGATTTAATCTCAAGTGCCTCAACAGCTTCAAGGGATGTTTCCTTTCATTTCACTGAAAGTGTCATAGTTTTGGACCCCAACATTTAGTTACAGTGACAAATATATAAGTATTCATTTATATATATTTACATTTGCAAATGTTTCCTTTAAATAACACTACTGAAAGCAATGTATATCTATAACTGTATAAATACAGGTACGGGGTCTAGAGGTCATAGATGTGCGTATGAATAAACGTTCGACGTAATTTCTCTGTGAAGTCATAAAGTGTCGACGTGCGTTCAATGGATTATATTCATGCCATTGGATTAGCAAAATAACGCATTTCACACGTTAAAAGTCACAATCAGGCAAATAAAAAGTATGAATAAGTCACAAATGTAAATATTAGTAATAAGATATCACTTAAAACATATATCGGGATATAAATACGGGTTGGTACGAGATTAAATTCATCATAAAATGGAATTTAATCTCGTGACCAAACCGTATTTATATCCCAATAGATGTTTAAAAATAATACCTTATTTCTTAAATAACTTTTTAGTCATGGTGCATTTGAACTGTATTTACATCTACATATACATGTTTATGATGTTTCATTATTTAGCTTTATGAAATTTCTTATAAATGTGCTTACAATATCACTTAGTATTTTATAACGGATAGTAACAAGAGGTATGGAATGGTGTACAATCTAATCTGGATGTGATTGATGAGGAAGTTCGAATGAAATTTCTTTTTTAAAAATGTATCAGAAGTAATCATAAAAAATTGTTTTGTAATATAGTAATTGCAGCTTAAGCTTAAAACTTTAGTTTTTGACATTAAATGTAAGAGGGCTAAATGCTACATCTCTACCACAGTATATCAGTTTGGTAAATATTTTGCGAATCACAACCAACCAAGCCATATGATAAACGTGATGTCTTTAACTTTTCTATCGTCAACTTCCCTTACTTAGGCAGCAATACCGTATACCTTTATCACCTGCATAGGGAGTATATTTATCTCAGCTGATTCGATACGCAAAAGCATGCTCTACGTATGAATAGTTTCTAAAACGAGGTAAATTATTAATAAATAAGTTGATGAAACAAGAATATCAGCAGTCTCGTTTACAGTCATCATTTCGTAAGTACTATGGTCGATACAATGACCTTGTCAGCAAATACAATTTATCATTGAGTCAAATGCTGACTGACGGTTTTCATGCTAATTGTTAGTCCATTATTTATACACTGAATTGACGACAGATTTTTCCGTTATTTCCTGATCATGACAAGGAGCACACAGCGGGTGTGCCCGGTCAGCAGAGGATGTTCACTCCTCCATGGCACCTGATGTCACCTCTGATGTTTCGGAGGTCCGTGTTTGCTCTGCTCCTATTTTGTATTGTTTTATGGACTTTGATACTGAATACTGTTTGTTATCTCCATATCATTTTTCATACAACCGGGTCCCCTGGTAAACAAAGCTTAGCAGAGTGTATTTTAGTAGGTAAGGGTGGATAACTGATTAGTATATCTTGTGAGGCAAACCGTGACAAGTATGAATTAGTAATCAGGTATGATCTTGTGCCCAGTGCACTACAAAACTTTCGTGATTTCATCTCAACAATGAGATAACATTTAAACAATCCTCCAACGTATCTATGTTCTTCTTCACCCTACAATTAGGTGAACCTTGGGCCTCTTAAGATACTTTAGTCCCCAGGTTCTGAAAATGTGGCATTAACTGAATGAAAATGCTACCAAAAATATCCCTAAATTCTCATACAAATGTGTTTTTTCTTCAAACTTGATCTTCAAAGTTTATCATATTATGTAGGGAAAATAAGTAAATATCGAATAAATTTTCAAAAAAATGCGACTAAAACCACCTATTATAATCCATTTTCTAAATAAAATTTGATCAACAAATACACTTTAGAAATAAAATTCATAGTAATCCAGGCTTTTGAATAAATTTTTATATACATAATTTACTTTTAGTTTCTTCTATTTATTTCGATATATTTACAAAGCAAAGTATATAGAGATTTCCCTATCATTGCAAAAACACTATAAATCACTTCTAATTTCATATCATTTTAAAGAACCTCAATTTCTTTAAATATCTAAATTTAAATAATTTGACTTTTTATAAGACTTTTCAGAAAACCTCAAAGAACCATGAAGCAGACTGAGTGGTATAAAATGAAAAATACGAGGGGCGTTCAATAAATAATGTCATTGGGGCTCGGAAAGAAGTAAAAAGATGCTTTTCTATGATTTAGTCTGAATGATCTAACAAAAATATTCTCTTTTAATTAAAACACGTGTCCGTAACATTTTTATTCAATTTCTAATTGTTTCTAGAACACATTTTTGAGTATGACCTTCGTATACTGGAAAATGTCAGATCCTATGATTTGCTGTATTTGTTTTTTATAGATGTTTATCTAAGTTTGGGAAATGAAATAAGTCAAAGGTTGAAAGATCTGGCAAATTTTGTTGGTGTGACAAAACATTAACTTTCTGTTTATCCCAAAAACTCCTTTACTCTTCATAGCCTGTGGGTTTGGGCGCTGTCATGAAGAAATTTAATATAGTGAATTCCTCATTCTGTTTCCTTACCCTCAAACACCTTTCATTTTTTGGCAGAAAAATTGTTTTCTAGACTCCTCCAGAAATTGAACTTCCTCCCCAAATATGAATTTGAACAATAAGACCGCTAATATTTAAGAAAATAGCATATAAAAGTGTTTTATGTTCTTGCAATTCTTTGCTCTTTTTAGGCATTTGCATTTTTGTCAAGTGCATGTTATTTTAAATTTGTTCTGAGGGTTTAAAGCAAAATGGATTCAAATTTCATTATCTATTTGAATTTCAGACAAACGTTGATAAGTGTAATTTTTGATTTTTTAAAAATATAATTGTTTAGATGTCGTTTTCACTATTTTTCAAATTATAGGGGGCATGCTTGATCGGTAGCTTGAATTTCTGGAATTGGAGGAATTACAATCGGAATTCAATTCCGGCTCAGTTCTATCAATTCCGTATTGAGAGGTGGTGTGAAAGCAATTAAAGATGGCGACTACTGTGTATTTGCCGAGAGTGCCGATTAAAACATGTATGCAGTTTTTCCCTGTATTTGGACCCTGATACAGTCCTATAGACCTATTTGCAAATTAAAATTTAACATTGTTCTCATAATATTATTCAAATCATGTTAATTGTTAAGTTCTCCTACTAGCTGCAGACAGCAAACATCATGATATTCTGTTCTTCACAGCATTCACTCGCACTTTTATCCTGACCTCCATAAATCATTTAATAAGAAGAAATTCTTTATTTGTCGAGCTACAGCCATATTGTGAGTCTGTGAACTAATTCCAATTCCAGTTTTACATGATTGGTAGAATTTTTGGAACTCTCGGAATTGAAATCTGACTTTACAATCAAGCACACCCAGGGTGACCTTTGAGAATTAAATATTTTTACTATCAAATGTTTCTTTAAAACAGTGTGAACTATCACCAAAATGATTTCTATCAATTTTGCTATGTGTCTTAAAGTCAGTAAAAAATATTCAATGATAATTTGTTGAATTTTCGCAAATATACATTGGTTGTTGTAAGTCCTTGTTGCCAAAGACGGTATCCATTTTTGATGCCCATTAAATAATTTTTGTATATTGAAATCCATCCGTTTACGTGGCTATAAAACAAACATTGGTTGCTGTAAATATCACATATTTCAGTTGATATATTTTTGGAGAAGTAGCAAGTTTTACACCTGCTTTAATGAAGCGTTTAATTTGACACTAGGTTTCTGATTGTTGACCATTAATTTTTAATGCAGTGTTTGGAATAACCCTTCCTTTCCAGCTTCCCACGATGAAATAATGCAATGAAAAGTGGTCGCAGAAACTGTTATCAATTCATTAAAGATATAATGAGAGAAAGCCAATCTTAATGTCATATATTTCTATGTTGTATGTCATCGAGCTAATGACATTATTTATTGAACGTCCCTCGTAGTTGCATAAAAGTTTTGATTTTCATGCTTCATTTTGAGAGGTCTTGAATTAAATTATAATCAATAAGTTATCTTTCCTGACTGAGGATAGGAGTACATTAATTAGTTTTTGTTTTGATTCACTGCAGATATTTGATTTTCTTCACTTGCATATTTCTCCATTCAGCAACAAACAGATTATCATTTGTATCTGTACACAGTCCCTGGGGATAACTTAGTCCACAGACTATAAAACGGAGGAACTGTCCATCCTGGTCTATGATGTGGACACATTCATTGTTATAATCAGCTGTAAGGATGTGACTCTGACTGTCTGTTGTGATTCCTCGTGGACTGAATGGTTGGTTATTTGGTGCAGGAGTATGTCCAGTGTATCTGAATCTCAGTTTACCAGCATGATTGACTACTACCACTGCTTCAGCTCTATAGTCAGACACACATATATCTAAGTTTCTGTTTTCAGTAATATTTCTGCAAAAAGGTCCAGATGAAAAGAGAGGTTTGCCTTCACCATCGAACTTTATGATTTGTTTCTGATTGAAACCAGAGTAACGGACAACTTTTGTTTGTACGTAGTCATCATTTTCCATGATAACCAATAGGTCACCGGAAGAGGTACTACATGCAGATCGAGGTTTCCATTTCAGTAGTCTGATCACCTTCTGAATCTTCTTATTTTTCACAATGTTCACAGTTCTATCATGGTAATCAGTATATATTAGATCTCCACTTAAAGTCACTGCAATGTCATCTGGTGCTTTCATTGACGTAGTTGTGATTGACTTGAGTGGTGATCCCTGGTTGATGCTGAAGAGTTTCATATTGCTGTCATCTCCACTTGTCCAAATTTCTTCATCACTCATACAGGCCACGTTATGAAGGTGTCTATAACCTGTATCTATATCTATGGTGGTGACAATCTCTGGTTCATCAAGCAGTTGTTTAATTGAAGGGGAGGATCCAGCATCTGGTGATTTTTCTGTAGTCTTGAAGCTGTACCCATGTTCATCTGCAGTTAAAGAACTCAGTGATAAAGTTCCAAACAGTTTGACAAGATTTTTTCCTTCGATTTTCTCTGGTTCAAATCTTGGCAAACATGTTACAAGCTTTTGTGGAAGGTTTCTATATTTTCCTACAATAGATTTAATTTTCAACAGCTTTGAAATGTCTTTAGAGTTCACATTTTTTTCAACTGCATTGATTTCATCCTTAATTTCAGATATTTTCTTGCTAATTCCATCCAGATGATTTTGTAGAATTTGTGACTGTGTGATTTTCATTTCATTAACTTCAGCTTTAAGTTTCTGGACAAGTTTGTCAATTTCTCTGTGCCAGTCCTCTCCATGTTTTGTTATGGCTGTAGAGAGATCTCCATATTCCTTTTCTAACTGACTCATTCTGTTTTGTACATCAGAGGCAATGTCCTGGTAGGTTGGGCAAATTGTATTAATTAATTCATTTCTTTCTTTTATAAAAATCTCTTTCCTTTCATCCAGAACTCGCAAGATTTTAGATAATTCATGACCTAGATGTTGATGTGATTCAATGCAGCTAATGCAGATAGGAATGGCACATTGATTACAATACATTTCACATCGTTCTTTGACATGAGAATTGCATCTTGGGTAGAGAGGGGTAGATTTTCTAAGAGCAAATCTGACTATGTCATGTTTTTGGGATTCATCAGATACCATATGATCACCAACACAGGCCTTACACATGTTGACAAGACATGTATCACAGTGCATCTGTACCACAGCGGTCTCACACAAGTCACATCTTATCACATCCTGGGCACTGGTACAAGGGTCCATGGTTATATTTTGCCTAAATTGAGAAGAATATTGATAATCGCTCATTATATATCTACATGTATACATTCCAAATGCAATGATTAGGATAATAAGTTAAATCTTGGTGAAGAAAATGAACGGAAATATATGATTTATGAATCTGTTTCCTTAAATTTTAATTTTTGAGAGGGTGAATAGCAAATCATGAAATAAAGGAATAACTTTTGACAAAATATTAAACTAGTTTAACAGTACATTTATAATATTCCAGAAAAGAAATTGCTATTCATGACTCCATCTTCACTGATGAACAACATTGTTTAAAATGTGGATGTGCTTTATCTTTAAAATCCTCTGACCTCTCACTCTGGAGATATTCGGACAGAAAATTAAAATTTCAAAGTTAAAGAAGACTGCTTTGGTTTACTCTGCTTTCCGATCAGTTCAGGGTAGCATATGTTAATGCTTGTTAAAGTTTTGACTTATATACTGAAAGGAAAAAGAAACGCAGGGTAGCATAATATTCGAAAAAAAAATTGACCGCATGACCGAAAATAACGAAAATTTGTCAGAAGAGAAATTTAGTTTCTATGTACCTTAATCAGTGTTCAAAGGTACTCAACCGTAAAATGTATGACATCATGTAGGGAAAACGCGAAAAAGCCCAAAACACGTGCAATTTGATGACGACGAGTTTGTCAACAATTTTTGTTGCACAATTTGATGCATCTGAGGTATACACATTGTTTTTCAATATTTAAAGACGATATGAATTTCTTGCAATCTTGGTACAATGTACGGAAGTTCCATGGGGTATGGTTTTCGAATTGCCTGAGAAATAAAAAAGCAACAACTCAATAACTAAACAGTTTCTTGTGAATTTACCTCATAAAACTTGTTACCCGTTGTAAGAGAGGACATGGAATGGTTTTCAATCAACTATGACGATGACGTTAACGCGAAACAGAGTCATGTTACGAGCGGATTATTCGTCCTGCCATCTCTTAAATCGCAATCCTACTACCACAAAAACCGCCTTTTATACAGTAGACTATTGTTATCATTACATTCCCCGAAAAAAAGAGAACAATTTCGCAATTTTGGCTTTTTGAGACAGTCAGCTTACTGTTGTGTTCCTCTCACTGGCGCATGCGCGTGTCGTATGACTAATTTTTTGGCGTGGTTACCCATGTCCAATATTGCCAGGGTTTAAAAAGATACTCACTCTCATGAATTTTATGGAAAGGAGAAATAACGCTCATGAGAGATGTACAGGAGAAACATTGAAGATAACGTTAGCTTTCGATTTTCACTTTTGGGGGTATCGTCTTATGAGCTTCAATAACACATGAATTATTAGACAAAATCAAATGGGATTTTGGATATGTCTTTTGAAAGATGATTTTAAAAGTTAGATAGGAATAATGAAAAAAATTGAAAGAAAAATAAATTTATTCACCTCAAAAGTTTACCCTACGTTTCTTTTTCCCTTCAGTATGTACAGGTTTACATACATTTATAGATATGGACTCTTCCATGTAAAAATTATATACTGTATGCTAAAATTGAGGTCATATTTGAAATTAATATTTCAATTTATACATACTGTCATTATATGTATGTCATCATTCTGTCATCATTTAAGTTATGGAACAAATACTTATTATATCTAGTATATAAGTCTTAAGTGGGGTGAATCAATACAGCCTACCTGTTTGTTCAATAAATGGTCTCAAGTTTTTAATCCCTCTAATCTGTAGTGTGGAAAGATATTTTAAAATGACATCTAATAAATAAAAAATTATAAAGTGAATCCCATAATTAATAAGATGGCTTTAATGACGTCTTTCCTGCATGTAAGCCAAATACACAAGCAGAGTCTCTTTTATCACTTAATATTTAGTGTTCAAACTTCCTGTTTTAGTTTTACTAAGAATTCGGGTCAAGTATCTTTTTTTCAATCTTGCAAACTGATACACATCTTAAATAACAAATAGTTATATTTGGGCACACACCATTCATCATCTACGAAGATATAATTCCGCACAATTTAAAAAAAAGACGTGTTTTCATAATATATGAAAACATGATAATCATCAGCTAAATAAATTTACACTAGTTATTCGGAGAAGATCTAAGCTACCGAATATTTTTAAGAATGGAGGCTTATATAACAACTTTGCTACATGCAATATATGGAGATAACAAACAGTTTTAAAAACTCAAAGTCCATTCAAGTAATACAAATAAAGAACAGGGCAAACACGGACCTCTAAAAAATTAGAGAATTATGAGCACATTACGCAAATACAAAATACTCCTGAAAGATCAGGAACTCGTGATCAAGATCTCGTGAAAAAAATAATGTCGGAGAGATTGCATTTTTTGGGGCATTCAGATGTATTAATAGATATGATCAGAAAAATGAAAGATGGTTTTTTTAGATGTCATTCATAAATTTCACACAGTAAAAATCATAAGTTGACCTTAGCTGGTTTCATGTAGCACACCACCCGAAGGGCATTTTTATTTATAGCAGCAAAAACTAAATGATAATCTTCATGTAAATTCATGTAAATTAGTTTAATCCAACTTTTTAAAAACACATTTTCTCTGAATATGAAACCATGCCTTCCGGTAGAACAACATGGCTTGACGAGGGGTGGTGACTGCACAGTTTAAGTGTAATCAGTCACTGTTAATTTTTTATCATATGTGTATGTTTACTCCTTTATACAGATGATATCGCTCATATGATATTGTTTATCTATCAACACGATCTGATCAACAGTTGTCACAATGCTTCAATGCTTTTTACATGAAATAGATTGGTCAAGCAAAGTGGATTCATATAAGTGACTGTATGTGTTAAATAGATGTTAAATAGGTGATCCGAATCTCTCATTGTTTGTGGTTGTGTATCAGATAACATGTTTTGTGTTTTCCATACCCTCGCAAAGGTTTTGAGATAGAAAACACACAACTGGAATCATATATACGTACCCAACCACAAACTATGAACATCCTCTCTGTTTAATACATTCAGTAAAATATGACAAATATTGCATGTAGATCCGGTGCCGTGGAGGAGTAAGCATTTTCAGGCCGACCGGACAAAACCTCGACAATAGCTTGCCTTGTTTTTAAAATTGTAAATGTGAAAGATTTCTGATATAGTGTACATTCAAGATGGTTAAAATCCTAAACTACGAAATAAAATGAGGAAGCAATGGGGGTTATATTCTTACTTTAAAACAAACAACACGAAATCATTTTATGTGTAAACGGATGTTTAATCTTTGCAAATAATATGGCCTCATATATTTATAAAGTGACGAAGTTTTACAAGATGCATGTATGTAGCAAAAAAAATCAATGTTTTAAAAACATACATATTCTGACGATGAACAGCAGAACAAACCTTACACAGAGAATGTATATAAATTTTAATCATAGACATGGAGACTGCTTCACAGTAAACAACTGGACAAAAGATATCAATACACTTAAAAAAACAAAAAAATCTTGCAAATTAGTTTTCCATTTATTTGAAGGTAAATTTTAGACCAGTGCATATCTTAAAAACTTGTGTTGGATCTAAAATGTTTCGATTAATTCGATTTAATAATTTATGACATGAATGTTTTAGAGTGTATTCAGATTGATTCAGCAAAGTAAATCCTATTCCCCTTCAGCAAAACAATATGATTTTTCTTTCATTTTCATAGTCTCTCACATTCATTTGACAAAAGTACATATTTTCATGAACTACATGTGCTTAATTTCTTTATTTATGGTTTCACATTAGAAATTTGATTTTCTTCACTTATTTGCTTCTATATTCAGCAATAAACAGATTGTCATTTGTATCTGTACATAGTCTTTATGGTTCTGAACTGTCCATCCTGGTCTATGATGTTGACACACTCATTGTTTAAATCAGCAGTAAGGATGTGACTCTGACTGTCTGTGGTGATTCCTATTGAAGACTGAATGGTTTGTTTTTAGAGCAGGAATACAGATGCTTCTTTGTTCTTCTAGGTACACCTGATCCCACCTAGGAAATTTCCTGGGGTCCATAATTTTGCCCTGTCTTCACATTTGTATAGTATATAGATTTTGTTAGATCGATCAATGTTCGTTATTATCATGATGGAGAGAATTTGAACTTCCTTTAATACCATTTTTCCAAACACTACCACTTACTCCTTTTTGACCTAAACTGTGTTCTGATTATTTACGTCAAATAAGGAGCCAGATGCGACCGCTACCATAGATTGTCTTTTGTTAATATCTCAACATATGTGTTTTTCTGAAGAATGTCTGATTATTTTATTTATAAATGAGAGAGACAGAAAAGATGGGAGATACCTAGTGCCTAAATAGTTACCCATTTTATAATAAAGTTGACGGACGTGTGTTACATTCAGAATATGAGAAGAAATACCATATCGAAGAAAAGATGTTGCAAAAACTTGACCCCTTTG